AGCCAGAAAGAGAGAGAAAGAGAGAGAGAGAGAAAGACACAGGGACCCAAGCTCTAATGGAACAAGGGTGCTTTATTGGATTCTGTAAGAGTATATATACCATAATACAAGATAGCTTCTTCAGATAAAGATCAAGAGACCAGACTTTACAAGTTACCAAGGAAGAAAGGAGCAATAGAGGCCATAAGACCAAAAGGTAATGCATATCAAAAGAGGGTCATAAATAATCCCTTTCACCAAATGGAAAAGCTAATGAAGGAAATCCTATGCAAGCATCCCATCTCTTTGATCTCCATCCTGGGAGAGGCTTGCCTGCTCCTCTCGCCCAACATGGACTGGTAAGGAACAGAGGGCTCAAGAGAGATGGGAAACAGCACACGGGGATCCTGCTGTTAAACATTCCCCGACACACACTATTACTCATTTACTTAGGTTTTCAATTTCAATGACCTTAAACAGCTTTACAAACTAAGCATCAAATTAAATTATTTCACTTTCTCCTATTATTTCCTATCATTCTAGGTACTCCATTAGTTCCAGTCTATTTCCATGGACTTTACATGGCAATGATTCTCCATCCTGACACTTACTATAGTTATCAGTAAAAATGATTTTTAAAAAAAAGCATTTGCCTAGTCTCCACCTGTGGGAATTCTGATTCAACTAATTTGATAAGCATTCTGAACATCCATATGTTTTAAAACAGTCTTCCTATGTTTCTAATATGCACATTCTCTCAATTATTAATAGTTCCTTTCTTTCTTTATTAGAAGTACAGTCGTCATTAAGTGTCCACCAGAAATTGGCTCTAGGACCTACCCCAGATACCAAAACCCGTGGATATTCAAGTCCCAGAGGTGGCCATGTGTATCTGCCGTTAATCATCTACAGTTCAACCTATCATGAAACTTGCACTACTGTATGTATTTACTGGGAAAAAAAATTCTGTGTATAAGTGGACTCTTGCAGTTCAAACCTGTATTGACAAAGGTCAACTGTATTCAGTTTGATGTGGAATCATTACTTCATCCTTTGTCAATAGTCTTAATTCCCCTTCTCTTTGGTCCACAAAGCTCTTCAACCATAACTGGGCCCTCACTTCTGCATTTCAACACTTCTAAATGTCGATTCCATCTCTTTACCATGGGCTTCTCCATTCCCCTTTCCTTCTAGTTTCTGATTCTCAAGACCCAGAAAAGCCTCCTTCCTTCTAGACCAGTCTATAGCCTGTGAAGGGAGATAATTACACATATTCATTCTGCCATCTAGAGCAGGAAACTCTCAAATAATTTAAACTTTGTTGCATTTGTTCTGTCGTGTTTTATTATTTAATTCAGGCTACCACAGAATCTAGTATGTTAATGTTAGTAACTCAGTCGTATTCAACTCTCTGGGTCCCCATGCATGGAGCCCACCAGGCTCCTCTGTCCATGGAATTCTCCAAGCAGCAGTATACTGGATTGGGTAGCCATTCCCTTCTCCAGAAGACCTTCCCCACCCAGGGATCAAACCCAAGTCTACTCCATTTCAGGAGGATTCTTTACGTCTAATCCACCAGTGAAGTCAATTGTCATAATGGACAATATGAATTATTCAATGGAATATACAGTACTTAGCATTTCTAAAAGTAACTGGTGTGTGAAATTCTGCCAATGTACCATTTTTTCCCTATTTTTTTTTCACCCTTTGGAATTTCTGGGTTTTTTTTTGTTGTTGTTTTTTGTTTTTTTAAATACAGGAACACAGAATAAAAGCTCTGATTATAAAATACTCAGTTCTTTAGGGTCATGATTCATGTTCATGATTGCTAATCATTCAGTCTGAATTTTCCATCAGATGCTATAGTCCAGTTTCTTGCATCCAAAGTACTAAGTGATAGAAACTATAAATGTTAGATAGGAGCAAGTGAGATTCTCCCCTGTGCTCTGATCACTAAAGTCTGTGTATCACAGCTGAGCACTAACTTATGTATCACAAGTTGCACACAACTAACTTGTGTATCACAAGTTGGCACAACAGCTTAAGACACTCATTAGAAAAACAAAGACGCTGAGAATGGGCCTTTAGTCTTTATAGCCAGTGCTTTTCAGAGTTTAAAGGAAAGGCTCAGATTTATAAGTCCCCCTAAGAATTCAACTCACCCTACTCTGATTTGATTTGCACATCTCCTAGTTAAATCTACCTAATATTTTTTAATGTTCTGCACACTTTCTGATGAGATATATAGGCTACATTCTGGAGGCATGACAAGGATTCTAAGACTGATGATTTACCCCCAAAGGATCAGGCCCTCCAACAAGGGCTTACATTCCTGACAATATAGGAGAAACAGGGATTACTGTTTAACGTGGTGGCCATATTAAAGTTTCATGAAGAAGAAGAAGATTAAAAAGATTTTTTTTTTTAAATGACTGAAGGCAGAAAAAGTGAACGGCCTCTCTAGCAGAGGGACCAAAATGTTTCTAACGTGTTTAAGGATGATAGACAGATAGAGTGTAGTACTAATATTAGAGAATAATGGATGGTGCAGTTGCAAAGGTACCATCAAACCAAATTCAGAGGGCATATATACTAGATTAAAGCAAGGTTGCTTAACCTTAACATCTATGACATGTTGCATGAGACAATTACCTGTTGTGGGGGCTGTTCTGTGCTTTGAAGATTAAAAGAATCACCAGCCAACTGAAGGATTTTGAATGAGGGGGAAAAAAAAGTGTTTTATGGAGATAATTGTGGTGATAATGTACAGAATATATTGGAAGTAAGAAGATCTCATGTAGGTGCTAAGTTGCAATAACACAGAGATCCAGAACTAATTGGTGACTCTGGGAAGAGGAGGACAAAATATTAGTAAGAAGACAGGAGTTAAGTAAACCAGGTTCATCAGAACGATGACGGAGTTTGAGGAGAGAGAAAAGGAATGTTGATGGTTTTGAAGACTTACATGGATATAGTGAATACTACTGTATTATTCCTTTTACTCTTCCAGGCAGATTTTATTGTTATTTCTTTCACTCCACCTTTATCCAAGTACAAGTTAAATATTTCTTCTTGATATGATGGAGAGAATAAGTTGATGGTGATTTAGAAATATCTATAATTTAAAGATGGAGAACAATTTGTGAAACCAAGGAGGATGGGATAGTCCTGAGTACAAAAGCCTTCCCATGTCCCTGTTTCTTCTTTGTAGGAAAAAGGCTTTAGCTTCCTAGACACTCCCTGAGTCTCAAAGGGCAGATTCAAACAGTTACTTCTTGGGAGAGGTAGATGTGGGGGGAATACAGAAAGAATCAGTAGTGCAGCCATGGAGCAGGGTCCTGGATCCTCCTGGTACTTCCTCAAAGAATATACATAACAATCTGATGCACAGCTCCGAGTTTTTCTGTAAGAACTCAGGCCCCTACCCAGGTGAAGGATGGTAAATTTGGACTGAGCATAAACCTGAGGACACCAGACCAATTGGAACTAGAAGTTGATTCCTGGACCACCACAATTACTCATCACCAACCACCCAGAGGCAGGTCACACACCTTGCAGATAGTTCCCCAAATTTTGCCTATAAATCTCTTCCCCCAAAACCATTGGAGAGTCTGTGTATTTTGCGCATGAGCCACCCGTTCTCCTTACTTGGTCCTTGCAAATAATCTTTCTCTGTTCTAGACACTGAATCTGCTCCAAACTCCAACACATCAATTTGTTTGGAGTCACTATGTGTTGAGCACATCAACTTGGGTTCTACAAGTTAAAAATTGGAAAATGACAATGTCATAGGTGAAGATCTTCATGTAGAGAGGAGGAAGAAGGCAGGAGGTGGGAGATGAAAATGTCAGGAGGTAAATAAAGACTCTAAGTCACAGACAGAAGAAAAAAAAAAAAACTTTCAAGAAGAGTAATATCAGCTTCAATATTTTGGACATTAAATATTGTGAGATCTAACAAGAAACCAAAATATTTGTGTGAATAAATGATACAGGCATTTATTGAGTAGTTTTAGGGGCAGGAATTAGACGGATGTGAGCTATGGAATGGTGGCTAGTTATGTAGAGGCATAAGCTGAGTACTTTTTCAGTATTTTGTTAGGATAAGAAAATAAAGAAATGGAATGCTATCCTGGGAGTGATTCCAGTAAACAATTTCTGGAGGTAAGAGAGATCTACATACATAGGAGGAATGCATAAATTAAAAAAAAAAAAAAGAAAACTTGAGAGGTGAATTCTAAATATTACAGATTTTGGTTAAATGCAGGCCTATCTCTGTGTTTTGTGCAACTGGGAAGAGCCAATTTTGACTCTTCTGTGGTAGATCTATTTTGGGGTGCACTTGAATTATTATAATTACACATAATGGCCTGCCTAGGAGAATCCTGCCCCTCTGCCTGACTGTTAAGCTAAATTGCCTTTGTTCAGAAAACTGACAACCTGTAGATTGCAGGAAGGAAGAAATTAACATATTTCCCTGGATGTGAGCTATGGAATGATGGCTGGTTATGTAGAGGCATAAGATGAGCACTTTTTCAATATTTTGTTAGAATAAGAAAATAAAGAAATGGAATTGTTGCAGGAAGGGGGAACTTTCCAGGGCCTGAAACTGAGCTTTTCTGTAACACTTAGAAATGAATTGTCCAAGGAGACACACGTGCTGACAAAGCAAGATATTTTATTGGGAAAGGGCACCCAGGTGGAGAGCAGGAGGGTGAGGGAACCCAGGAGAACTGCTCTGCCCCTGGCTCACAGTCTCGGGTTTTATGGTGATGGGATTAGTTTGCAGGTTGTGTTTAGCCAATGCTTCTGACTCAGAGTCCTTCCTGGTGGTGCACGCTTGTCCAGCCAAGATGGATGCCAGAGAGGAGGATTCTGGGAGGTGGTCGGACATGTGGTGTCTCCTTTTGGCCTTTCCTGAACTCTTCCGGTTGGTGGTGATTTATTACTTCCGTGTTCCTTACCAGGACCTCCTGTCATAAAACAGCTCATGCAAATGGTTACTATGGTGCCCAGCCAGGGTGGACATTTCAGTCCGTGTGTTTCCCTGACAGAATGCTATCATGGGAGCGACTCAAGTAAACATTTCTGGAGGTAAGAAAGATCTACTTATACAGAAGGAATGAATAAATGAAAGAAAAACAATTGAAAGCTTGAGAAGTGAACTCTAAATCTTATAGATGTTGGTTAAATGTGAGCCTGTCTCTGTGTTTGTGTAACTGGGAAGAGCCAATTTTGACTCTTCTGTGATAGATCTGTTTTGGGGGGCACTTTTGTTATTATAATTGTGGGGCTGCCGGGGCTGGCAGGCGGCCTGGACCTGGGTTTCGGTTTCCCCCGAAATGGTAAGATTCCCTACCCCCATCAGGTAACCTGGAGCCAGCCAATCAATATGCGCCCAGTAAGAAACAAAGGGAGAGTTGAAAAGCCTGCGAATGCCCAGGTTTGAAAAAAAGCCCGCGAAAGTTTGTACCAATAAAATTGCTTTGCAAACATGTAACCAATCCGCTTAAGCCAGCTACTAACCGCTTATGCATGCCTTATAGATTTGGGTAACCGCCTCTGCTCAGGGCTTTCTGACCCTGCGCCACTGTGATGGTTGCGGCAGGAGCCCTGGCTCGAGTCAGTAATAAACTTCTCTTTTTTTGCGAATTGCATTGTCTTGGAGGCCTTCTCTCTCCCCGCCCGGGGATTCGGACATCGGGCAAAACATTTGGGGGCTCGTCCGGGATCCCTTGACCGGGGGGAAGAGAACACTTTCAGGTCAGAGGGGAAAGATAAATAATAGCACCGGTGCTCAGGACAGGAAAGTCCAGTGTAAATCCGAGGCCCTGCTGGGAAGCAGGAAGGTATCTGGCCCAGGAGAAAGCTTTCTCTAAAGGGCGGACGGCGTAAGGCCGAGGCCAGCGGATGCGCTGGGAGGCAGCCGATTCTGTGGGAAAGAAAGTTCCTCTCCCGACCCCGAGTCTGGTGAACAGTGGACGCCATTCGGTAAGATAAACCTGCTACCGGGAGGCAAGAAAATTCAGGGGGCCCGAAACCCAGCGCTATGTTATCGGCCGACGTTTGTCTGTCTGTGTATTTGCCTTCGGCTCTCCGTGTTTGTGAATGCCGGCATTGTCTCTGGTCCTCCTCCTTTTGAAATCTTTGAAGACATCTGAAGTTTTGTGTCTCTATAGAACGTTTTCTGAGAGACTGTATTCTTGTATTTAAGGGAGCGTCTGATGAGGACTGCCAGGATTATATGTGTGTTTAATTCTGTGTTGTGATTTGTGATGGCTATTTTGCTTTGTCTGGCCACCATTTAGACCTGCCGCCATTTTGTTAAAACTTGATTTTCTTTCCCTGTGCCTTGAGACCAGGGCTCTCAGGAACTCTTATCGAGACCAAGAAGAGAAAAAACAAAAGAAGAAGCCTTTAAAAATGTTATTTATTTAAATTTTATATTGTAATATCTAATTCATGACCAAACTTAGAAAAGAAGATAGATCTTGCACTGTGTCTGTCTAAATATGTTTTGGTGTGTCTTTATCTCTGGAAAATATTTTTAGGTTAATTTATAAATGAGCTCTATTTAATTGGCTTCAAAAGGGGTAAGCACTTATAAATCAAATAAGTCTAAATTAAACAATAAATTCCAGGTTTAGGTGAACTGGGAAATATTCAGTATTAAATACCTGATATTAATGTTTGTTTGTTGACCTATCTAATATAGACATGTCTTAGAGTAATTAACATCAAGTGAAATGTTTTCATTGTGCCTAGGTTTAATATAAGTTAAATCTTATGCCTGTTGCGGGTTTGTCGACAAAGAAATTACCTCGAGTAAAAAAAACTTCTAAAAATGTAAATGAGGTATGAGTTTGTATATAAACTCTATTAAAAATAATTATTCTTTAAGAATAACTGTTTAAAATAGTCTCTACAGATTGGTGCAGCTTGAATTTCTAAGGGTTGTGCTAAACTAAGTATTAGAAGTCTATTAAATAATTAGGTCATTTCCAAATAAAATAAGATTTTGAAACATTTACTACTAAACACTGATTTCCTTTTACAGAAAACTAAAGCGATTTGAGACTATAAATGAATAATGTTTGATGCCATCCTAAAATGTTTTAAGAAAACAAGGGTTTTAAAAATTATCACTGCTCACCAATCTATAAAATGCTAATATAAAAGTTAGCTCTTGGTTGCTAAAGAAAAGCAAAAAGTATGCTTTCAAAAAAAAAAAAGAAAAAAAAAAAGAGTGTAAAAAAATACTAAAAAGAGTTATGCATGATCAAGATTTTCTAAAATTAGATTACTATTAGTTAAATAAATAGATTTTGTTAAAAATGACACGGTCATAAAAAAACTGGTTAGAGCCAATTAGGTCCAAAATGGTGGAGCTGACTTTCACTCGACCTTGAGCCTTGGTATTTGCGCCCATTGTGACATACCTACAAGCTAAATGATACCCCCATCAACATTGACTGAATCTGACCAAATGTTCTAAAGCTTTTAATTCATCTTTTCGATAAAACTTCCTGAATCGAATTCTTTTGAAGTTCCTTTGACATCTAGCTAACTTTGGGGTGTTTCAGAGGGCCCCTGAAACATCCCAAAGAGAGATATTAAACTGTTTATTTGGTTGGTTAAATTACATGAAAAAGATTATCAAATGAGTAATAAATCTGCTCATGTTATAATGTATGAAAACTTACTAATACAGGTATCCTAGAAATTATATGGAGTTCTTAACATTTTGATATGTCTTGGTATTCTAATGAAAAACCTGATGACTTCACAAAAGTTAACAAAGGACTGAATGAACCAGCGAATATGCTTGTAACTTTTATGGTTTCTATCTGAGAAATTACAGGTTTAAATCGTGTTTTCCGGGAGTAGAGAAAACCTTCCTCTCAAACTAATTATAAAAATAATTTGGTAAAATTACACATTATAAACAAAACAATTATATTTTCTCTCTATCTGACTCCTCCAGAAATTTGAAACTCTTAAGTTTCCAATAAGTTTATCAAATGAGCTAAAAAGGTTATCTCACTAACAGGTACAAAAATCTCAAGGAATTTTTGAGACCTTAAAAAAAAATAAATAAAAGAGTTCACTTAGATTTGTTAGGCAAAATCTGTGATAAGCCTTTGGTGTGACTTTCCCAGCCCTGTTTTATAGTAAAAGTTCAGTCTGAGATCCTATAATTGTTTCAGCAAAATAAAAAGTCTATGATCAATTCTGTTATGTGATATTAATGTGAAAGTTTGTTTCTGAAGCTTATCTCAGTAATCTATCTTTGGATGAAGATCAGATGCCTCATGACCTCCAACCAGGACTGGAAAAAGACATAATTTAAGAGACTGTCTCCAACCTGGATGGAAAGACTTTTTATCAGGTACTCTTAACTAGCTCATACAAAATAAAACTGAAGGGAAATTAACTCTTAGATTGATTCCCACTTCCAAAGGCCCCTACACTGGATTGGTCTATAGAGAAGACAGCTGACCTGATCTCACCTTAAAATGATGCTCAAACAAGAAAAACTACAGTACACCAGGATGAGAAGACAACAACATCAGAAGTAGACAGCTCGTCCAAGATACTGGACCTGATTTGTATGATCGTTTACAGTGTTCTCTTGACTTCTTAGACTTTTGTGTATAAATCAAATGCTTTTCTATCATAGGCCTGATTCTATGCTAGTTTTAAAAATCAATCCAATTGTTGGGTTTGTGGCCAATTATCTGTGTCTAGCTTTGGGTTACCTTGGTAAATTTCTCTACTACAAGACTCTAACTGGTTGGCCCTGAGGAAATTTACCTGGAAAAATTATAGTCATATTCAGGTTACTATGATACTACAAGACAGGATCCCCTCACTGGGCCAATTAATAATGCCTACTCTGACTCTGGCTATAAATTTGAGCCTTTTTCTATTCCTCAAGCTCAATCAGAGCAACAAGAAAAGTTTTAGCAAAAGAAAAGAAAAAAAAAAAATCTCCCACAATTATGAGATAGATTTATATAGATAACACCAGGCTATGGTAATTTAGGTTTAAAGTCTCCTCTGTGTTAAAAACAATTAAATCATACTAAGGATAATCAGTCTAGTAACACTAGAAAACTGGGCTACGTGCCTTATAGATGGTCGTGCCAATGTATAATTTCCCTGAAAGATAAAGATTCCTACAGAGTAGACTAAGTCAGATGACCTGGGATATACTGGGCTACATCTAATGGAAGCTCTTAGGTCTTACTTGTGACTTTACTAATACTGCTGGCTATGTTCTTTGTATTTCACCTGTTTTAAAAAATTGCTATTTCTTACAGTGCCAAATGTGTGACTGAGGCCTCTGATAAAATATTATAGAGTTCCCCATGAGATCGATGATGGTAACAGTGTAACTCTAGATATGAGAAGAAGCAACAAGAGGGAATGTTTTCCTGGACCCAGAGGCTAGTAGGACAGGTGGTCCAGAGAATTTTGGATACTGTTTTATGGCCTAATCCAGTAACAGCACATTGAGAGGCCGGTCGACAAAATCTTTGCCAAACCTGAGGATGGACATTCTCAGCACCATGGGATAAAATGGTCATGAAATGCCCCCCTCAAAGTCGTGGTCAAGTTTGTGAGCAGAAAGGGGCTCTGCCAACTGAAGACTGACACTTGCCATCTACATCTACGGAGATTATATCATGGCCACTGCAGCTGCTGACTTTCAACGGCCCTGAAAGGAGTTCAGGGTGAAGATCAAGAATGAGGCGTTCCATGCTCTGGGAAAAACTGGCAGAACAGGCCTTCAGATAGTTAGATCTTTTCAGGAAATTTTATGAGTCCCAATTCTTGCATCTTCTCATACCTAGAGAAACACTGACATCATTAATGGTGCCAACCTGCTTTGGCTATTAAAGAAAATTTTACAATTAAAAGTCAAAATAGAGTACTCAGCTATGGTTCAGAGATCCTGGGAAATAACCAGGTGTTACTATGGGTGTAATTTCAGATTAGACATTGTATTGCTAAACACGAGTTTTCTGAGTCATGTCAGACTTAGATGCCACCATTCTCAAAACAATGTCTGCTGGAAGCTAGTAACTTCTACCTTACTTTATATAAAACTAGGCAACTGGCCACCTGGCTGCAAGTCTCCCTGGAGTGCCAGGTCCAGACTGGGTTTCAGGCCTATTCTTCTAAAAGAAAGAGATTTACTTTGTCTATTAAAAGTCCAGTTATCCCTTCCCCAGCTACTACTAACTGGGTATGTTGCAACAAAATGGCAGTGCAAGGGATTGAGATTTTAATCATACAAGGCTCAGATCTAAGACATGGAACTCAGGAATACTTCCAATTCAGCGTCTCTTCTCCAAGCTGAGGCAGTCTTATGCTCCATTTTGACAAGAAGTTATCACAGTCATAGTTGCCCTGTTCCCTAAATTAAAACTGAGCAGGACTCTGCGGGGTGGTGACTCTGGAGTACAGATCTGCTGTACAGTAGGATACAGGCTTTATTCAGCCTCCTTGGCCTTCCCTGAGTTCCAAAGGGTAGATTCAAACAATTGCCAATCAGAGAAGGGAAGAAATACAAAAACAGGGGAAACAATCAAGTGGTGGTACAGCCTTGGGATGGGTCCTGGTTCCTACTCAAAGAAATATGTATAACAATGTCTTTTGAGTTCTTTTACAGAACTGGAGCCCCCACCCAGGTGGAAGATGGTAACTTCAGACTAAACATAAGATTCCTAGAACACAGCTCTCTTGCTTGACCACCAGCCAATCACCCCAAATGTTGCCTCCTGTTTCTGGGGACCAGCGATGACCATCCTGTTAGGTCTCCTTTTTGGCCCCAGTCTATTTTACTTCTGAGAGGCGCCAACAGTTTCAAACTAAGTTGCTGTTATTACAAGAGTAAAAGCTGGTTTCAGATATAAAACACTCCAACTTAGGTCAAGTATAGAGACTTCTGCTCTGCTAGGCAGGCCTACACCCAGGCACAGCAGAAAAAGTTACAGAAAAAAAGAGACCTCTGCCCCAATTCCAAAAAGCATCTTTAGTATAAAGTCTCTCAAGGGGGAGTTATTAGGAAAAACACACTGCCTGTCCATCCACCTAATGTTACTCAGATCTCAGTATTCAACTGTCCCCACAGATGATATAGAAGAACCATGATTGGGCCTTCCATGAAAACAAAGACGGGGGAATATGGGGCTGCCGGGGCTGGGAGGCGGCCTGGACCTGGGTTTTGGTTTCCCCCGAAATGGTAAGATTCCCTACCCCCATCAGGTAACTTGGAGTCAGCCAATCAATATGCGCCCAGTAAGAAAGAAAGGGAGAGCTGAAAACCCCGCAACGCCCAGGTTTGAAAAAAAGCCCGCGAAAGTTTGTACCAATAAAATTGCTTTGCAAACATGTAACCAATCCGCTTAAGCCAGCTACTAACCGCTTATGCATACCTTATAGATTTGGGTAACCACCTCTGCTCAGGGCTTTCTGACCCTGCACCACTGTGATGGTTGCGGCAGAAGGCCCTGGCTCGAGTCAGTAATAAACTTGCCTTTTTTTGCGAGTTGCATTGTCTTGGAGGCCTTCTCTCTCCCCGCCCGGGGATTCGGACATCGGGCAAAACAATAAGCACACATAATGGCCTGCCTCAGAGAATCCTGCCCCTCTGCCTGACTGTTAAGCTAAATTTCCTTTTTTCAGAAACCTGACAATCTGTAGATTGCAGGGAGGACGGAATTAACATACTCCCCTGACTGAGGCTTGCCATTCTAGGAGATACTTGAAAGTTCAAATGGCTTTTTTAGCTTGTTTTCTCACAGCGCCCCCCACCACTCCCCATCTCTGATCCATAAAAGTTGGGGTCTGGCATCCAGACCCCAACAAGATGGTTATTTTGAGATATTAGTCTGCCATTTCTCGGTTAGCCTTGCCTCAGCGTTTCATCCCTTGGATTCACTAGCCTCTTGTATGGCAAGCAGAGTGAGCTTAGACATGGCAACTTTTGTGTAGACTTCTGGATGGAGAAAAAGGTGGCAGTTTTCTTTAGTGAACTTTGTACTCTGGCCATTTGTTTGTCTTTAAATGTTTGCCATATTTTTGCAAGAGGCCCTAAACTTTCTCAGTAAAGCTTGTTAACCATACATGCTAAAACATCAAAGTTTCACAAGCCATGTTTATCCAATTTGTTTCAGAAAAACAAAGTAGCAGAAATAACTTATTTATTGGCTCTAAAGCAAGGAGTTTTAGTCATTTCAACTGAAATACTTTGTTTTTGTTTTGGTTTAGACATCAAAATGAGGACTGGCATTAAAATGCAAAGCCTCAACCCTGCCTGTCTATAGCTCACTCAATTGCCTCCTGCCTATCCCAGATTTCCACTGTTGCTTTCAGCTGGAAAGATAGAATATTCAAATAGATATGGGGTTGGCTCTTTAAGGTAAGTTAAAATTGTGGACAATATGAGCATTATTCATTTAATGCTGTGTTGCAAGTCAAGGGTGAAAAATGACTGCAGTTACTAGATGCTATGAAATAATGCAATGCAGTTTTTGTATGTACAGTCACCCTTTGTATCTGCAGGGAATTGTTTTCAGGAACTCCTGTGGATACCAAAATGCGTAGTAGTTGTTCTGTTATATAAAATGGTGTAGTACTTGCATATAATCTATACATATCCTCCCATATACTTTAAATCATTTATAGATTATATATAATACCTAATGCAATGTAAATGCTATGTAAATAGTACTATTTACAATATAGATGCTGTGTAAATAGTTGCCAGCATGGGGTAAACTCAAGTTTTGGTTTTTAGAAGCTTCTGAACATTTTTTTGGAATAGTTTCTATTCTTGATTGGTGAGCCCATGAATATAAGACCTCTGGATAATGGAGCCCAACTGTATGGTCATAGCTGTCTTTTGTTAGTATTTAACTTTAAATTTGCATACTTTGTTATTCAACATATGTTCCTTCACCACAGGGTCAAAGAAATCAGGCATCATCAATGTTTATTACTATAGATGTTATGAATTTCATCTCTGCTCCCACTTCCTACAAGTTAAAAACACAGACTGCAGAAGCTATTAGGTAACATGAACTCATTTGCCATCCCTAGCATTTTCTACCCACATTGTGTTCAATATTATTTACTGGAGAAAGACTGGAATTCCTTTTTTATGCAGGCCTTATACTGGAGAATAAGGATGAAAAGTGGAATGAGAAATACTTCCTACTCTCTTGTGGCTCACAGTAGGTATAGTCACTACAGAAGATGTACATGGCATGAGTGGGGAGAAGTCAAGGAAACCTTGAACAGAGGAGACCTATGAATGGTATGTTGAAATATGCCAGGTCATCAGTTAAGGTTATTGGCCATCCAGGAAATTAAAATAGCATGAACAAATTCAAACTCTGATAGGACATGATAGATTTGGGAAATTGTAAGCATTTCAGAATATCCAAAGCTTAGAGAACATGGCTCCATGGTTAAAATAAGGAAATATTTAGGAGTGAAAATGTGAGAAAGATACAATCAAAGGAATGTTCTGGAAAATACATTTCCCTAACAAAGATGCTAGTAATAGTGATTGAAAGTGGCTTTTGCACTAACGGAGAATATAAGAGTGAGAAAGTCCATGCTGCCCTCCAAATCCAACATCTGGAGATATCTCTAAGGATGGAATTTTTATAAGAAATTAGGCAAGAAAGTCAGGGACTAGATCTAAAGAAGCTTCTCTCCCTGTACTTTCTTGAGGTGATAGAAGTCATAAAATGTTCCAGAATGAGATACTGGTTTCAAAACTCAGGAGACCTATGGGATTCAGCAAAGTCTGGGCTGGAGTAGGTTAGGACTGGAGTGAGGGCCCTTTACGTAGGTAGACCCCTTTCTTGGAATTAAAGGACACAAAGATGTGACTGAGATGATGCCATGAAACTCCTGCAATGACTGCGTAAGATTGGCATTGGATTTGTCTGCCATTGATCATACGTTAATTACTTCTATTTTCAGGCAGCGTCAGGTGATGAAGTCAGACAGTTTCAGATTAGAACAGCCCAATCATTAGCCATGAGACATCCAGCAAATTCTGAACCGACTTTCCTGCTTCCATCCTTTTCTCTGTTCCTTTCTTTCATATTAAAAATTCTATTCTTATGCATATATTTGCATAGTATAGCTTATTTTTTAATTATGGGTGTACTCAATAAAAAATCAATTTCATGAAAACAGCTGTAAAACCCAGAAAATCCCCACTTTCATCATCTCAACTCCAATTTCTTCAAGTGAGACATTATCGATGTTTATGTGTTATTCTGGTGTTTGTATATTATTAGTGTTTATATGTTATTTATATATTTCTTCAAGCAAGATATATATTATATATATAATTGGTGTTTATTTTGGTATTAGTATTATTTTGATACTCATTTCTAATTACCTTGTGAAATGTATTATTCTTCATTTGCATTAGAAAATTATACAGAAAAATTCTCCCATAAAATATGAAGTTTTAAATTTCTGTCACATAGTACTTTGCCTCTGATGGCACAGCAGATAAAGAATTTGCCTGTAATTCAGAAATAGAAATAGAATGAGAGCTATATAAGTAAGTTTAAAGTTCAGAGCATTTCTAGGTGAAGGAGATCGTTCATGGAAATATTGTTTCCAATCTTCACACAACTGTGTAAGGTAAATATTATTATCCCCACTTTAAAGATGAGAAAATACGGATTTGGAAAATAGTTGGAGGATTTCTTCAGCTAGCTGATTAAACCTGCATGTTCTACCCCAATATCACATGCTGCTGCTGCTGCTGCTAAGTCGCTTCAGTCGTGTCCAACTCTGTGCGACCCCATAGACCGCAGCCCACCAGGCTCCACCATCCCTGGGATTCTCCAGGCAAGAACACTGGAGTGGGTTGCCATTTCCTTCTCCAATGCATGAAAGTGAAAAGTGAAAGTGAAGTCGCTCAGTCCTGTCCGACTCTTTGCGACCCCATGGACTGCAGCCCACCAGGCTCCTTCGTCCATGGGATTTCCCAGGCAAGAGTACTGGAGTAGGTTGCCATTGCCTTCTCCGAATATCACATGAAGATTGCATTAGATTTTTGTTTACAAGCATAAATTTACAATGAAATAGAAGCAGAAACAATGACTATAATGTTTTTGGAAGCTGCAAAGCTGACAGATGCATGTGAAATAACAGAACAGAAAATGATATTCTGTTAGCTAGCAGTGGGGGAAAAAGAAACTCAGTATATATCAAAATAAAGGGAGAGCAAAGAAGGAAAGAGGAATAAAGAAAGGAAGAGAAAGAAAGAAAAGAAGGAAACCAAAATGTGCATAACTTCATTCTAGCAGGTACAATAGTGAAGTAAAGCCAGGACTAAAAACATTATATTTTCCTATAATGGAAGACATTTATTTCCTCTCCCCTCTGCCTAGTTGGACAGCTGCTTCATAAGGAAAAAGGGAAAGGTTTATTTTCTATAAAATACAAAATAGTGTTTATTGTATTGGGGATACAAGCCCAAAATTATCCCCTTTGGGCCCAGAGGTATACCTGAGGTAAAGATAGCTACATTAAATGATGATATTTAAATGAACACTTATAAATAGAAAATCAAGTTAAACATTGTTAAAACTCTGAATACTCTGGACAAAGAAAAGATAATGGCAAAACTGAATGCCACAAGATTAGAACGCTAAATTTCAAATTCAGGACAAATATCTCCCAAACTAGACATCCTTATCCAATCAGTGTATGAGTTTGTTTTGATAATACAATAAACCTATGATTGTTTATAAAGTTTTACTTTTCTTGCACTTTTCCTAAAAAAGATACTATAAGATATTCTCTATCCACCAAAACATTAAATGTCTTCAGGATAAAACACAGTGTGAACAAAATGAGATAATGACAAAAGAGAAAGATTTTACCACTGGACCTTCTCTTTTATAAAAGTGAACTACAAATTCAATTGCAATTTGTTTGTACTTTCAAATCTCATTACTTTGTAACACTGTTCATTTGTACTATGCTGTTAGTAGCTTGTGAAGAAGGAAATGGCAACCCACTCCAGTATTCTTGCCTGGAGAATTCCATGGACAGAGGAGCCTGGCAGGCTACAGTCCATGGGGTCACAAAGAGTCAGACATGACTGAGNCTTTCAAATCTCATTACTTTGTAACACTGTTCATTTGTACTATGCTGTTAGTAGCTTGTGAAGAAGGAAATGGCAACCCACTCCAGTATTCTTGCCTGGAGAATTCCATGGACAGAGGAGCCTGGCAGGCTACAGTCCATGGGGTCACAAAGAGTCAGACATGACTGAGTGAATGAGAACATTAGTAGATTGTACTAAGACCTACAGATAGGTAGAACTCAGGCCAGCTATGAAAAAAAGTAAAAAAAAAAAAAAAGATTAGTGAGGCCAGAAATGTTTAAAATGATATGGATTCTTTAAATGAATCTATAATCCTCAATTTGCACACCATTTTAATATTAATTTCCTCTGAGCACAGTCACTTCCAAACACACCCAATACATTTAATCATCCCTAGTTCCCTATTTCTGATACAAGAACTGGGAGATTGATGGAACAGAGGTGCAGGGCTGTGCTGGGACAGGCAGCTCCAGCAGAGAGCCTGAAGTAAGTGTAGATCTGGAACTAAGGTCATGCAGCATGAACATTGTTAATCCCTTGGAAGAACCAACAAGAAGTGATGAGCAGACAAGAAGACAAAGGGAGGAAATGGGGATTGAAACAAGGATAGCAGAAACAGAATAAAGACTGACTTGCATCTGGATTCAAGACAAACTTCAGACATCCTCAGAGCCTGCCATGGACTGCCCTGAGCTTCTGTCATAGGACAGAACCAATGCAGTTCGTCCTTATATTTCCCCATTTTCTACTGAATGAAATCCAAAAGGTAGGACACTGATTCTTTAGAACCTCGTCCTGACATTTTGTTACCAGTCTTGCTTCTTTAAATCAGCCCCATTCTTCCTTGACTGGTCTCTCTTCATTGCAAAGTAGATTAGTTTTGTAAGCATTTTCAGTTCGGTTCAGTTCAGGCACTCAGTCGCGTCCAACTCTTCGTGACCCCATGAACAGCAGCACGCCAGGCCTCCCTGTCCATCACCAGCTCCTGGAGGTTACTCAAACTCATGTCCATTGAGTCAGTGATGCAATCCAACCATCTCATCCTCTCTCTTCCCCTTCTCCTCCTGCCTTCAATCTTTCCCGCATCAGGGTCTTTTCAAATGAGTCAGCTCTTTGCATCAGGTGGCCAAAGTACTGGAGTTTCAGCTTCAGCATCAGTCCTTTCAATGCATACCCAGGACTGATCTCCTTGAGGATGGACTGATTGGATCTCCTTGCAGTCCAAGGGAATCTCAAGAGTCTTCTCCAACACCACAGTTCAAAAGCATCAATTCTTCAGCTCTCAGCTTTCTTCACAGTCCAACTCTCAAATCCATACATGACCACTGGAAAAACCATAGCCTTGACCAGACGGACCTTTGTTGACAAAGTAATGTCTCTGCTTTTTAATATGCTGTCTAGGTTGGTCATAGGTTTCTCAAGAGGCAGGTGAGGTGGTCTGGTATGCCCATCTCTTTCAGAATTTTCCACAGTTTATTGTGATGCTCACACTCAAAGGCTTTGGCATAGTCCATAAAGCAGAAATAGATGTTTTTCTGGAACTTTTGCTTTTTTGATGATTCAGCGGATGTTGCCAATTTGATCTCTGATTCCTCTGCCTTTTCTAAAACCAGCTTGAATATCTAGAAGTTCACGGGGACTGCATCATATAGTAAATAAGCTCCTAAGGATGACTCACTGACTATGAGAAGAAGTTTACACTCAGTCTCACTGTTGTCATGTAATGGAGACCCTGTTTCACTATTTTAAACAGAGAAAAGCAAAACATGACAGATCTCAAATGTAAAAGGATGACTTTCAGAATATACTGAACATGATTTTAACATAAGAGTTAAGTGTAAGCCTCTGGAAATTAATAGCCTGCATTCAGATCTCACTTCACCACTTACTATCATAGGTTCTTTCTCAAACTACTTAACTTCCTTATACCTTGATCTCCTTATCTCAAAAATGGGGTAATCACAACAGAATCAATTTCATAAGGCTGTTTTGAGAATTTAAATGAAATGCAAAAATACACATATAAAAGTTGCTCATTTTAAATGCTAAATAAATGTTCACTAATTATTGATTGAGGAAAACATGCATTGATAAAACAAGGCAGTATAAATTTTTATTTTATTCACAAGTGCATTTCCATAAATTTGGAACAGGAAAACAATAGTTAACAAGCATATGGCGTATTCATAAAGTCTGTAGATGATGTTTAGTCACATTTGGAATTTCAGATTGATTTCAATAGTTTTCTGGTCTCTTGGGGTCTAGAACCAGTGTGTCTAGCATAATTACATTCAAGACTTTTTAATTTGCTAATCATATTACTTTTGAAATCAGTGTTTTTAAATCATTTTGAAATTCTATATCCTTTTGAAAGTCACATAAAAGACTTTGATGCTCTCCTCACCATGGAAATGCACAAACATGAATATATATGAAATTAGATATTCTAATCTCACTAAATGAGTTAATACAAACATAGCCTTGAAATTATGTCTGAAACTGTCAACACATTAAATGATATGCATTAATTATAATTTTATGTTTAAAAGAATGTGTAAAGGCATTTCCACCACATTTTTTCATGAAAAAAAAAAAAAAAGAAAAAAAGAAAAATATCCCCCAAACAATTAGAAGGATAAGAACAGATCAAGTTGAAATTTCAATGAGGCTAGGAATTACACATAATGTCCTCATAGTGTTCAAGGGAAAGCTAACAGATGTATTGAAAATTCCATAAAAGAGTGGAGAGACACATAACCTGACGTCTATAGCTGGTGACCTCACACAAATGTAAAATCTGAACAGTTTTCTAGAGTAGATATGTTGTTTGGAAGGGTCAAATTCACATTATCTTTAGAACAGTGGCAATGGACTACTGGTCCAATAGTGAAAGTTTTCTTTAATCTCATTTCACATAATGAAGAAGCGGAGGAGCCACACCTGTTGGGAAGCACACAGAGAAGTCATTTCACTAGGATGCTGTCTCTCTGTGAAGCACATTACACGAAAGAGGTTTTCATCACTTTGAGTAACAAGCAGCTCTGAACTCTACTGCCTGGGAAGAAGTTAAAGTCAGATCAGTGAGG